CGCCCCTCCCTTGCTCCTTGGCGACCCTAAGCGTCGTAAGACCAATACGGGTAAAGAGAAGGTGGACGAGGGGAACGCTGCTTCCAAGCGGACGGAATCGTCCGTTACTTATAGGGACGCGTTAGTCAAGATGCCGTCTCGACTCTGGAATCATCCAGAACCGTACAAGGTGGCGGAATACCTTCACTCCGTGCTCCCCGAGGCCGACAAGGCTCGCGTCGAGGGGAACGAATACGAGCGCTCCTGCTACGCTACCCAATGTCTGGTTCGGGTATGTACTTTGTTTTTAAGTGTTTATGCTTCGCATATTTCTGCATTTCCTTATTTGTTTCTTCGTGTAGTTCATGGCGGCCGCTCTCCCTGGCCTCAAGGCCAGCACTCGACCCTCTACTTTCTCCAGTGAGGCCCTCGAGGACAAGTACGAGGCGCAGCGCAGGGAGATTGCGCAACTAAAGAAAGAGCTGGAGGATTCCAAAGCCCAGGTCGATAAGTTGAGAGCCGACAAGGCCTTTGCCGTACACGAGAAAGAGAAGCTCCAGGCCGACCTCGAGAAGGCTCAGGAGGCGAATATGTACGAAGTGGACATTGGCATCGTTGAGGGCCGGAAATCATTCTTGAGGACTGGCATAGGCGCTGCCTTTGTTCGCGAGTATCGCAAAGAAGTCGTCAAGGCTTTCTGCAATTCTCCTGAGTTCCTTGACAAGCTCTGCCCTGCCGCCGTCCAATACTTCGATTATGCCTTCGATGCTTGGGAGGCTGCGGTCGCGGGTTCTGAGTTTGCTGGGAAACTCGACCGAGAGGCCCTGAAGCGTACACTTCCTGACCCTGACGGTTATGAGGGCGATCCGTCCCTTCCGGATGACTACCCCTGGTGGACGGGTCTTGAGGCAAAAGTCGTTCGGGAGGCTAAGCTAACTTATCAACTCGATGCTCCGCTGCCTTCTCCCGTCCAACCTGTCGGGCCGAGTGATGGTGATCAGGTTGTGACCATCCTCGAGGAGAGCGATGAAGATGTCGTAACTTAGTTGTATTTTCGAGGCTTATTGCCTTCAATTTGTCGTTTTATTTTTGTTCTGATCAGCCTAATTTTCCAGCTTGTAAAGGTTGAGACGACTCTTGTAATGAAGAATTTTTCCTTTAAATATTATTCCTTGTTTTACCTTTGACTTAAGTCGTTACGTTCCTGGAACTTTGTTGTTCATGCTTTCCTCGAGTTTTTACTTGTAACTATACGATTGTAGATTTATCGACATTTCTTTTGCTTACACATTTCGTAGTCAGTGCTTCTGCAGTTGTCGGGTTATATAAGATAACTTGTTGTTTTATCTTTCACAGTCGCGGGCTTTTATAGCCTCGCCGAGATTTCGCTCGAGGCACGCAACCTTTGTTGCTTGAGTCGACTTTTATAGTCGTGGGCTTTTTAGCCTTGCCGAGNGCAACTTTTGTTGCTTGAGTCGACTTTTATAGTCGTGGGATTTTTAGCCTTGCCGAGATTTCGCTCGAGGCATGCAACTTTTGTTGCTTGAGTCGACTTTTATAGTCGTGGGCTTTTTAGCCTTGCCGAGACTTCGCTCGAGGCATGCAACTTTTGTTGCTTGAGTCGACTTTTATAGTCGTGGGCTTTTTAGCCTTGCCGAGATTTCGCTCGAGGCATGCAACTATTGTTGCTTGAGTCGACTTTTATAGTCGTGGGCTTTTTAGCCTTGCCGAGACTTCGCTCGAGGCATGCAACTTTTGTTGCTTGAGTCGACTTTTATAGTCGTCATGGTTAGTCGGCTACATAGCCGTTTCGAAGAGCTCAGTTTATCCAACAATTATGTAAGAAAACAAATAAATATATAGGCATTTTTGAAGAGTACATTCAAAATCCATTTCATTACTGAATATGATTTGATCGTTGTTCAGTACAAAAAGCAATTTCGAGAACATTACTTAAGCATAAAAACGTTTGAGATGGGTAACATGCCAAGATCGCGGCAGCTGTCGTCCTTCTATATCTTCAAGTTCATATGCGCCTCTCTCGAGCACCTTGGTGACTGTGTATGGCTCTTCCCAGTTTGCTTCCAGCTTCCCGACGTGCTTCAGGGCATCGACCCTCTTTAGTACGAGGTCTCCTACTTGAAATCGCCTGGTTCGCACTTTCTTATCAAAGGCTGCACGCATCTTCTGTTTGTACTCTACAGATCGTAACCAAGCCTCCTCGCGTACTTCCTCTATCATGTCGAGGGCTTCTTCCCTTAATTTATCGTTGCTTTCTTCTTCGTAGAACATTGACCTGTGCGAATCTAAACCAACCTCGATAGGCAATAATGCATCCATCCCATACACCATATGGAAAGGTGATTGCCCTGTCGAACTCCTCGGGGTCGTCCTATAGGCCCATAAGACGCTCGGTAGCTCATCGACCCAAGCGCCAGATGCTTTCCCCAATCTCTTCTTTAATCCTTGTAGGATGGTTCTATTTGTCACTTCGACTTGTCCGTTTGCTTGCGGGTGCGCGACGGAAGCGAACCGCTGCTTAATCCCCATGTCGAGGCACCATGTTTGAATCCGCTTTCCCTGGAATTGTGTTCCGTTATCTGAGATTAAGACCTTTGGTATCCCGAATCGACAGCAGATATTTTTGAACAAGAATTGTATCATTTTGTCTTCGGTAATCTTGGCCAGAGGTTCTGCCTCCACCCATTTGCTGAAGTAGTCGACAGCGACTACCATGAACTTCCTTTGACCTGTTCCCATCGGCAGTGGTCCTACCAAGTCGATCCCCCATTGGGCGAAAGGGATTGGACAGTTGATTGTCGTCATTGCCTCGGCTGGGATATGGGGAATCTGACCATGGCGCTGACATCGATCGCATGCTTGTACCAGTTGTTCGGCCGCTTTCCGTATTCTAGGCCAATAATAGCCCGCTCGAAGAGCTTTGCCTGCTAGAGCTCGCGACCCTACATGCGACCCGCAACATCCTTCGTGGATTTCTTTCAAGACATGATCCCCTTCTTCTTCCGAGACACATCGCAGGTGGGGCCCGATCATCGATTTCTTATACAAGATTCCTTCGATTTCAAAGTATTTGCTCAAATATCGGGCCGTTTTCTCTACTTCCTGTTTGTCTCCTTCCTGTACTCGACCTTGTAATAGTTCACGAATTGCTTTTCTCCAATATTGCTTCTCCTCGACCTCCATTGTTTCCTTTAGAGTGCTCCCCTCCAAATGCAGGGTGGTGATTTGATTTCCCATCTTTCCTTCATTTGAGCTTGCCATCCTTGCGAGCCAATCGGCTCGCTTGTTTTCCTCTCGAGGCACTTGTGTGAGTTCAAATTTTTCCAAATTTTGTACCAAACTCTGGATCTCTTCGACATATTTCAACATTCGATCCTCCTTAATTTCGCAGTTCCCCAACACTTGCCCCACGACAAGCTGTGAGTCGGAATGTGCCACGATCTCCGTTGCCCCGCCTCCGATCGCCAGTTGGATTCCCTTGATGAAGGCTTCATATTCTGCTTCGTTATTCGAGGCTTTAAATCCCATTCTGATGGCGAAGTCAAGTTGCTCACCCTCGGGGGATACTAGGACGACTCCAATACCAGATCCTCTGGCTGACGAGGACCCGTCGACGTGCATCATCCATTTCTTGCTTTCTCCTTTGGTCCCTTCTTGGATAAAGTCGGCTAGAGCTTGGGCCTTTATAGCCCGTCGGGGTTCATATTTGATGGAAAATTCGCTGAGTTTGACCGCCCATTTTACGAGTCGACCTGACACGGTAGGTCGGCCCAATGTCTCGCCGAGCTGGAAATTTGTCCTCACTATTATCACATGGTTCAGGAAATACGGCCTCAGTTTTCTGGCTGTGAGCACCAACGTTAGTGCGGCTTTCTCGACCTCAGAATACCTTGTTTCTGCGCCCTGGAGCACTCGTCTTGTATAATAGATTGGCTGTTGAGCCCCTTCAGCTTCTCGCAGCAACACAGAACTCAAAGAAAAGATTCCCACCGAGATATAGAGTACCAACTCGTCGCCCAGCTCTGGCTTTGTCAACAAGGGTAGCTCGCTCAAAAACTCCTTCAATTTTTCAAACGCCATCTGAGCCTCGTCACCCCACTGGAAAGCTTTTTTCTTGAGTAGCTTGAAGAAAGGGAAGCTCCTTTCCGCCGCCCGGGCTATGAATCGACTTAGGCCTGCAATTCGACCTGTTAGGACTTGTACCTCTCTAATATTCTTTGGTGGGGTCATGTCGAGTATGGCTTGCACTTTATCCTTATTCACTTCAATGCCTCTTTCCGTTACAACATAGCCCAGGAATCGTCCTGCTTTCACTCTGAAGGCACATTTACTCGGATTCAGCTTCATCCCAAATGTTCTTAGTATCGCGAACGCTTCCCTTAAGTCCTCCACATGCGAGATCGAGGACCTACTTTTCACCAAGATGTCGTCCACGTAAACTTCCATATTCCGCCCGATCTGTGATTTGAACATTCGATCCATCAACCTTTGGTATGTTGCCCCTGCGTTCTTGAGTCCGAAAGGCATAACGACATAACAATACGTCCCTTTGCTCGTCACGAAGCTAACTTTGCTTTGATCCTCAGGTGCCAACTGAATTTGGTGGTACCCCTGGGACGCGTCCATCATGCTTAGCAATTGACAACCAGCAGTAGAGTCGACCAGTTGGTCGATTCTCGGCAGGGGGTAGTGGTCCTTCGGGCAAGCTAGATTTAAATCACGGAAGTCTATACACATACGCCACTTGTTCAGCGCTTTCCTCACCATCACCGTGTTCGATATCCATTCTGGGAATTGAATTTCTTTGATATGTTTGGCTTTCAACAATTTGTCCACCTCGACTTCTATGGCTTTGTCGATTTCTGTGCCATGGTGTCTAAGCCGTTGCTTCACGGGCTTTTTCAGGGGGTCGACATTGAGCTTGTGCTCCATGACATCGGGATCGATTCCTGTTAGCTCTTCAGGGGAGAAAGCGAATATGTCCCTGAATTCTTTCAGTAGCCCCACCAACTGTCGACGCAATTCTTCTTCCAGCTCTCTCCCTATTTTTGTAGTCTACTCCTCTCTCTCCCCGATTTGGATTTCCATTAATTCCCCATGTGGCTCAAGATCACCTTCCCTTCGTCTTTTTTCATTTGACACCGACTTTTTTCCTTCCTTTATCTCCGTTCGTTGGTTTGTCCTTACTGCAATCTGATAACAGGTTCTCGACAGCCTCTGGTCGCCTCGGGCCTCCCCTACCTTATCTCCGATAGGGAACTTCAGCTTCATATGATAATTTGACACTACTGCTTGGAATGCGTTGAGTGCCGGCCTTCCCAAAATCACATTATAAGCCGACTCGACGTCGACCACAACAAATCGCACCATTTTTACCTTCCTTAAGTCGCCTTCCCCGAGGACGACAGCGAGAGTGGTTTCCTTCAGGGGGGCGACTTCCGAGCCATTAAATCCAAAAAGTGAAGTGTAGAGAGGTGAGAGTTCAATGTCGAGTTCCATGCGTTTAAGGCAATCGAAAAAAATCACATTCACCGAGCTCCCTGTGTCGACAAAGATTCTCTGGACTTCGTAGCCCGATATCTGGGCTGTGATCATCAAGGCATCGTTATGAGGCCTCTCAACTGCTCCTACGTCTGCTGGTCCGAAATTCATCACCGGACCATCCTCTTCGACCTGCTGCACTTCGGTTTTTCCATGATGCCCTCGAGCATATGCTTTTCTAGCCCGGTTTGAATCGCCATCAGTTGGCCCTCCAAATATCATATGAATTACTCCTCTTTTTTGGGGAAGCTCCTCCTTATCGGGTGTTCTCGCCCTCTTATGAGGGATTTTGCTCCTCTCCCTCCGTCGACTGGGTCGTTCTCGATCTTTATAAATGAACTCCTTCAGATGGTCTGCTTTGATTAGTCTCTCAATTTCATTTTTCAAGTGCCGACATTCATCGGTGTTATGGCCGTAATCTTTGTGGAATC